GTGACCTTGCAGTCCAGTGCTTATCCTACAGCACTACAGCAAGACTCCATAAGGCAGCATAGATGCTCCATAAATATTTTTGGAAATACGGAACCATATATGAAGAAGACAGGAAAATGTTTTTGGGATAAGGTAAAGAACATTTTAATAATGATCCCCTTGACCTGAGGATATGAGAGAAATAAGAGAAAAGGTCTGGATGCTGAAGCACTCAGGGTACCCAGAAATTTAAGGTGGTTGAATGTTCTTTCCTTCCTTTCTACTTCTTGTTGTTGTTAGGTGCCATCAAGTCAGTACTAACGCATAGCGACCGTATGCAGAACAGAATGAAACACTGTCCAATCCTGGGTCAACCTCACTACTGTTGCCACGCTTGAGTCCATCGATGCTGCCACTTGGCCAATCCATCTCGCTGGGGGTCTTCCTCTTTTTATCTGACCATCCACCTTACCAAACATGATATCCTTCTCCAGTGACTGCTCCTTCCTGACAATATGTACGAAGTATGAAAAACAAAGTTTGGCCATCTTGGCATCCAAGGAGCACTCTGGCTGCACTTCTTCCAAACCAGATCTATTAGTTCTTTTGGCAGCCCATGGCACTTTCAATATTCTCCTCCAACACTGTGCAGCTTTCACATGCATATGAAGTTATTGAAAATACCATGGCTTGGGTCAGGCGCTCCTTAGTCCTCAGGCTGACATTCTACACACCTATTAAGTACATCCTCAACTACAGATAATCTGATTTCCAAAACCACAGACTTGATGACCTTAGTCTTACCTATTTCACATCCAAATCTCTATCTCACCACCTCTCCAGTGACAAGTCTCCTATTTTATAACCACGGGTTCAAAAGTACCAGAGGGATTCTTCCCACGTAGCAAGGACTACAAAATGCCCACCCAAGTTTTCCACCTGATGCCTTCCTGCACCAAGCCTCACACTAAGAAATAAACACAAAAGGAGGAGGATGTTCAATACGAATCTTTTTTTTAGTAACTAACCTAAAGCCTTGTGGAGTCCTGGTGTGAACCAACTCGACAGCACTGAACAACAACAACAAAGACTTATAGATGGTCCATGTTAAAATAGGTTGACAATTGTGTGTGTGGGGCAACACACTTACAATATTTTCCCTTGGCAAAAATGACAGTGTGTTGTGAAATAATCAGAAATAATAAAGCAAAAGAAAGAAAAGTGGAAAGAAGAGGGGAGAATAAGAAAGCATGGCAAATGACAAAGAAGGAGAAAATAGAAAAATAACAAATATGAGAGGATTCTGATAAGAAAAGAAAAAGATATATTTTCAGTCAGAGTTAAGGCTGAGGTCAATAAGGACATCATGTAATTCAGAGAAATGGGAGGCTTAAGGGACTGTGGCGCTGTAGAATCAGCACAAAGCCAGTGGTTCAAATTCACCAGCGGCTCTTCAGAAACCCTATATAGGGTTGCTATGAGTCAGAAGAGACTCAGCACTTAACAAAACCAAACCAAAAAAAAAAGAATGGACAGGGCTTCCATGCATGGAAGTTAAATAAATAAAACAATGACAGTATCTTGGGCATTCAATCAGGACTGATAAGGGACAGGGAGGGTGTGGCTCCTTTGGATAAACATTGGGCTGCTAGTCACAAGGTCAGCAGTTCAACCCCACCAGCTGATCCAGGATCTCTATGAGTCAGAACACACTCAACCATACTTAACAACAACAGCAACAACAAAAGAATAGGGAGGGACACACAGGCTCTAAACTCAAAGAATCCACTCAAACCCACTGACATCAAGTCGATTCTGACTCATAGTGACCCTATATAGAGTTCCTGAGGGTGTAAATCTTTATAAGAGAAGAAAGTATCATTTTTCTAGTTGTTGGAGTCAGTTCCGATACGCAGAGACCCTGTATACGGTTTCCAAGGAGTGGTTGGTGAGTTTGAACTGCCCACCTTATGGTTCAAACTGACCTTTTGGTCCAGTGTATTGTCGTATCCTGCAGCAGCACACCAGGACTCCAGTGGAGCAGCTAGTGGGTTTGAACTACCGACCTGTGGTTAGCAGTCCAGTGTTTTATTAAATAAAGGGGAAGAGCAACATGTAGAAAATTAAAATGAAAAGTCTGGGAAAGACGCTCTTAGAAAAAAAATGTAAGACTAGCAGTTCCGCCAGACTTGAAGAGGGAATGAAAAAGATGGTTCTAATCACCGGGAGTCCTGGTGTGGTGTTGTAGGATAAGCACCGGACTACACGTCAGTTTGAACCACAAGGTCAACAGTTCAAACTCACCAGCTGCTTCTTGGAAATCCTATATAAGATCGCTATGAATGTGAATTAACTCAACAGCATTAACAAGAAATAGGAGCTCTAGAAGGAGCTCTGGTAGCGTAGTGGTTACGAATCGGGCTGCGAACCTTAAGGTCAGCGGTTCGAAACTACCAGCCGCTCCGCGGGAGAAAGATGAGGCTTTCTACTCCCGTAAAGATTTACACCCTCGGAAACCCTATACAGGGTCGCTATGGGTCGGAACCGACTCGATGGCACACAACAACAACAACAACAAAGTGGTGTAGTGGTTACGAATTGGGCTGTGAACCTCAAGGTCAGCAGTTCAAAACTACCAGCTGTTCTGCGGGAGAAAGATGAAGCTTTCTGCTCCCGTAAAGATTTACAGCCTCAGAAACCCTGTAGAGGTTCGCTATGGGTCGGAACTGACTCCACGGCACATAACCACCACCAGTGGCCAATGGGTTAAGCATTGGACTGCTAACTGAAAGGTCAGCAGTTGGAAGCCACTTGCTGACTTGAGGGAGAAACGTTGCAGTCTGCTTCCATAAAGGTGTACAGCCTTGGAAGCAGTTCTACTCTATCCTTTTCTGTCACTAAGAGTCAGAATCAACTTCAAAGCAGTGGATTTGGTTTTAGCCTACACACTTCCAATTAGGGTGAAATCGACAACCCCTCAAAGGAGAAAGAGAGCCAATTGTTCTTTGTGAGAAGCCCTGGGTTACACATTGGGTTACTAACTGCAAGGTAAGCTGTCCAAATCTTCCATTAGCTCCGTGGGAGAAAGATGAGGCTTTCTGCTCCCATAAAGGTTCACAGCCTTGGAACCCTATATAACCACCATCACCACCAAAGAGGAGTGGGATCATATTAGGCTAGTGTGTAAAATGCTCAACATTTTAAACGTGAGGAGGAAAACTTACATGCCTAGAGAAAAGACATCTTCACCACTTAAGCAAACACAGAGGCTTATGTATACACATTTTAGACTAAATCAAGCAATGTAACACTATGGTTGGTGTTGTTAGGTAGTCAAGGTGGTTTTGACTGATAGTGACGCTATGTACAGAAGGAAACACTGCTTGCCCTTGCATCATCCTCACAATCTTGCTGTTTGAGCCCATTGTAGCAACCACCACCATCAATCCACCTCCTTACCTTGAGTGTCTTATTTTTCACTGGCCCTCTACTTTACCAAGCATAACGTCTTTCTTCATGAACTAGTCCTTCCCCCCACCCATAACACTAACATTCGGTATCAAACGCCTTACCTATTTGTTGAGACATAATTCTTGTTCATTTTAGTTGCTGAAGCCATCAACTAACAAGTAGTGGTTTTCCCCTCCATCATAATGTGAGACAATTATGAAGACATAAGATAGGCGGAATATGACCCTGGTCAGTAACTTCAGGTGATTTCTTTTTAATGTGTGTTCTCCTCGAATTACATTTTAAATAAGCATTTCTATTCCTTTTGCTTTATTTTCTTTTCTGATAGCATATATAGGCTAATTTTGGAACTCTTTGGTCCATTCCCTACCTCTTTTCTTGACTTTCTTATCTTCATTTATTTTTCTCTGTACAAGTGATCATTAAGTGGGCCTTTTGTATAAATTGCTCATGCTTTCAATTCTGCTACACTGTAATGTGTATGCTATATCTTCAGGTGAAGGTCTTTTCTCAGTGTTTTTGTTGTTAAGTGCCGTCGAGTTCCGACCCATAGCGACCCTGTACAAGGTTTCCGAGGCTGTAAATCTTTCCGGGAGCAGAAAGTCTCATCTTTCTCCCGCAGAGCGGCTGGTAGTTTCGAACAGCTGACCTTAAGGTTCGCTGCCCGATTCGTAACCACTAGGCTACCAGAGCTCAGCTCAGTGTACATTTTGTTATATTTGAATCCCTTGGAATTCGGAGCCTCAGCGAAACCTCCACATGAAGAGAGAGTCGCTTTGAATGCAAAGTGAGTTTCTCAAACATCAATATTGCCTCAGGGAATCAGAAATGTTTTCTCTATAGTATTAATAAAGGCACCTTGTGAAGGTTAAATTGTACCTTCTCCCAGCCACCGACTTCAGCCATAACTTAAGCAGCTCTAGGAGAGGGCCGGAAAGGATCTTGTACAGCTTTGGTTTCCTACGTGGCGGAGACCCAGAGGAGCCGCGGGTCGCCTACCTGCCTTCCACTTTCCGGGCAGGAGCGGCTGCTCGTCCAGTAGAGCGGTTCGCTGGCGGCTCCCACGTCCTCCCAACCTCACCTACCCGATCGCTCTCCGACTCGGACCCGCCTGACTCATCTGGGATGGGTGACAGGGGGTGGGGGCCCCTCAGAGGGCGGAGGGACATCAGGAGGCGGGCCGCACCCTTCCCCCAGAGCCGGAGAGAAGGCGTAACCAGGACGCAGGTGAAACTGACTCCGACCTATCCCGGGAACTTTCGTTGCCGGGACTTGCTGCGAGAGGTCAGCGTCGCGCCGAGGCGGACTGGGAGCCGCCCTCTCCCACCAGGATTGCGCGCGGGGACTGAGTCAGGGACCGCCTCTCCGGGGACCCGCGGTCAGCCTGGCGCGCTCGGGGGCTGCAGGCGGCGCAGGGCTCCGCAGCTGATGGAGGCGACTGCCGCCGCCCGGGGTGCAGGTGACACGCGCCGAGCCCGGGTTTCTGCTGGCGGCGAAGAGCCCCCGGAGGGTGAGACGCAGACACCCGGGGAACAAGGAACGTGTCAGCGATGGCCCAGGAGCTAAGCCAGGAGGCACTACTGGACTTTTTGTGCCAGGCCGGGGGCCGAGTGACAAATCCTGCTTTGGTGACCCACTTCAAGAGCTTCCTCCGAGACCCCGACGCGTCCCCCGGCGAGCACAAGCGTCGCCGCGAGCTCTTCAAGGGCTTCGTCAACTCAGTCGCCGCAGTGCGCCAGGACCCCGACGGCACCAAGTATGTGGTGCTCAAGAGAAGGTACAGGGACCTTTTAGGGGAGGAACGGCTGCTGCGACCCCGCGACCCGTCCGTGGCCGCCGTCCCTGCAGGAGGAGCTGCACCTTGCTCCCCGCGAGGCGCGCGCCGGCAGCAATCGCAGCCGCAGCCTAGGCGGCGACGCGACCAGGAGCGAGAGGAGGAGCCTGCAGGTGCCGCAGCTCGAGTCACCGATGCAGGTTGCAATGGACACCCGGCCAAGGACGCCCGGGAGGCGGTTCCGGGAGGCGGCGGGCAGAGGGTCAGTTCCCACCAGATAGCGCCGGCACTAGCGCCTGCGGTGTCGGCTCGGGCGGGAGTGCGGTGTGCGGCGGTGGAGACTCAGGGCCAGTGTTGCTGGGAATGCCTACAGAACAGCGTAGAGGGGCTCCCGGGCGAGTCGCATCTGGACGCGCTTCCAAATTCCGCCACCGCCAAGGAGAAATCGGCGCTGGGTCTGCCTGCCCAGGATGACCGCGGGGCTCCGAAGGAGCGGCTGGAAGGCGTGCCTGCTGAGCCGGAGCAGAAGCGGACGCAGGAGCCTGCGGTCACCCCTACGCCTCCCGCGACCGTCGGGCCTGCGTTGAGCAGAGTTTCCTTGCCCGCTCTCCAGCCTCACCGTCCTCCCGCTGGAGACCGACTAGAGCTTTTGGCCCCTTGCACCCAACAGTATTCGACCCAGCAGCAGCAACAGCTGCGAACTCTAGAGTGGGTGGCCAGACACCCCCAGGTGCCGGAGGCCCAGGATCAGAGCCCGATCCGGGCTTGGTCGGTACTACCAGATAACTTCTTGCAACTGTCCACAGAGACAAATTCAGCGCCGCCAACAGGCCCCCCTCTCTCCTCTCACGCTCTCTTTCCTGTTGTACCTGATGAGTCCTCAGAACCTGGATCTGGTAGCCCTCCACTGACAGTGTTTCGTAGCATCCGTTGTCAGTTGTCCCTCCAAGATCTGTATGATTTTGTGGATCAGGAGAGCCACGGCAGTGAGGAGAGCAGCAGTGCACCCAAAGAGTCCCCTGGGGGTTCTGAAGACGGTCTGCAGATTGCCGTGGGCACCCCAGATTGCGGAAAGCGCAGGAGTCCAGCTGGAGGCATTTCTGTATCTCCAGAAGAGCGAAGCCCCAGCAAGAGCCCTCAGGACCTCAGGAACAGAGGAGTGGGCCATACTACTGAGCAAGCCCCAGTAGAGGCTAATGGCCTGGCAGGCCATCCCCAGGAACCTCTACCCTGGCCAGCTTCCAAGTTAAGGCGATCACTCAGGAGGAGCTCTCGGGCACGGCGGGCCAAATTATCCTCCTCTGATGAGGAGGTACTTGATGAAGACTTGCTAAAAAGGAGTCGGCGTCCACCTCGGCCCAGCTCCAGGAAATCCTCCAAGGCTGGGGCAATGCCCAGTCCCAGGGTGGATGCTGCATTGATTCCAAAACTTTCCAATGGTAAGGCTGTTGTTACTGAGGGGGGTTGGGCACTCAGCTCGTGGGTGCTCTATAGGGAGGGGCCTTCAGCCTTGGACATGCACAGACATGAACACAAATCATCCCTGGTACCCCTAGAAGCCAGGGAGCACGAATGGATTGTGAAACTCGCCAGTGGATCCTGGCTTCAGGTGCTGACCTTGTTCTGGGAGGACCCTCAGCTGGCTCTGCACAAAGACTTCTTGACTGGGTACACTGCCTTACACTGGATGGCCAAGCATGGCAACCTCAGGGCCCTTGAGGACTTGGTCTCAGGAGCACAGAAGGCAGGGATTGTTCTTGATGTAAATGTGAAATCTGGTTGTGGATACACCCCGCTGCACCTTGCAGCCATTCATGGTCACCAGGGGGTCATCAAATGGCTAGTACAAAGGTTATCTTCTCGGGTGAATATCCGGGACAGCAGTGGCAAGAAACCATGGCAGTATCTGACCAGTAATACCTCTGGGGAAATATGGCAGCTACTAGGAGCCCCTCGGGGCAAGCCTATTTTCCCAGTCTCCCCCATAGTCCGAAGTTCTTCCCCCACCAGGAAGGCCAAGATCCGGGAAATATCCCGAAGTGTCACCCGTAAGACTTCCTTTGCTGCGTTACTCAGAAGTCATCAAAACAAACGGAAATTTGCCAACCAATATGAAAAATTCCCCACTTCAAGGGAAAGAGAAGAGTATAGTGACTGAGGTGGGTCTTGCTCTCCAACATGCAGCTACTACACCCTTACTCAAAAGAAATCAGGGGGCAAGTGAGAATTGCTGAGAAGTTAGTAAAGAGGGAGGTAAGTGAGATGGCCCCAGGAAGTATGTGAACACATCCTGGACTCCAAGGGTCATCTGAGCTTGAAGGCTCAAGTCTTTGAATGAGTGTAACCTAGGCAAGGAGTAGGTAGAATCAGGTACTCAGAACCCAGAAAGTGTTCTCTTTCCTTGCCACCACTCATCTGGGTACAGTAAGCCACGTGGTTTCCTGAAGCGGCTATCTCAGGCCCTGGCTGAAAAGTCTAACAAAAGAGAAGTCATTCAAGGAATTGAGAAGCTCAAACAAAATCTGCTTTAGTTAGTAGTTCTCTGGCTTCTGTTCATTTGGAGAATAAATCTTGGCTGAGAATCCAAAGCTCCAGGTTTTGAAATCAAGCGGCTTCTCTTTTTTGCATTCAAATCAGTAAAATAAAAATTGCCACTGAAAAGTGAGACTTGATTTAAAAGATTTCTTAGCCATGTCCTTGAGTATTGTCCATGCCGGATAAAGTGTGAACCAATTAGTACCTATTTTGACTCTCTTTGCTACTAATCAGAGAAGCAATTAGCTAAGATCCAGTTACAAATTTGACCCCATGCAGTAGAGAAATGACTGATAGTTGTTGTTATGTGCCATGGAGTTGGTTCCGACTCATAGAGACCCTGTACGGGGTTTCCGAGGCTGTAAATCTTTACGGGAGCAGAAAGCCTCATCTTTCTCCAGCGGAACAGCTGGTAGTTTCAAACTGCTGACCCTGAAGTTAGCAGCCCAATTCATAGCCACTATGCTACCAGAGCTCCTGACTGATAGTTAGGTCCTGCTTTTTTGTATCAAACCCAAGGGGAACTTTACCAAACACAAAAAACGTGGCTTGTTTTCATAGTAACTGAAACCATTAGTAGTAGTATAGAAACTCCTTGTGAAACTTACAACAAAATTATTGCTAGTAATTGTCAGTAGGTTTGAATGACCAACCTTCACCTTCCTAAAAAGAGAAGTGATTTCACTCTGGGGAAGCAATAAGAATTAAGAGGAGAATGCCTCTCCATCATGAATCTTCTAAGCTGCTAAATACAATTTTATTTGCACTGAACTTGTTGCCAATTAAAATGAACTATTAGCCTTGAAGTGCTGTATATCTACCAGGAAGTGCTAGGAACCAGTCATTGTGGGTCATGAAATGAGAGAATGACTATTCTATAAAACTGTAGTAGAACATCAGAATTTCAGAATGCAAATTCCAAGAGGGCTGAAAATGAGATGTTAAAAGTGAAAATTGTTTTATAAAGATCTTTTCATATACTTTGGCAATGATGCTGCATTTAAAAAAGTATTTTTGTGTGTCTTCTGGCTATTTTCTCCCATTAAAATATCCACAGATCTTTGTAATTTATCGCATATACTGATTACTGTAAACTTTCTTTCAGATATTGTCTCTCAGTGTCAAATATTTTTGTTTCTTTGTTTTTTATGCTGTAATTTTTTTTGCTGAAACAAATATATCTCTAGTCTACCAGGAAACAAAAAGTAGATATAAAATCTAAGGGCCACTTTTTTCCAAAAAAAAAAAATCTATAAAAGGGTGTAAAACTGATGATATGCCCTGTAAACTTTCACTCAATCCACAATAAAAACCTTAAATTAAAAAAAAATAAAATCTATAAAAGATATAACTTTGACAAAGCAAATAATAATAATAGTAAGACAATCACAGTAGGGCATGATTAGGAAAGATACAAATTTAAGAGAATACAGAGTAAATATTTATGCAAATATTCTAGTAAATAGATGGGTTTTCTAGACAAGATTACAAAATGTCAACTTCTTTTAAAAACTAAAGGACGTTTTTATGTTTCCATATTGTTGTCATAATGCTGTTTTATTCCACAAATATCTCTTGTTTAGTGCTGTGGGACTTATAAAGGGGGGGCATAAGTTCAGCTTCTTGGAACTTAAAATCCAACAATATTTGTTTTTAAATTGATTTACACTCAACCTTGCTCCCAAGGTATCTTTCTGAGTTGCATTATATTTGATATATCTGTATAAATAAATCAAGGAGAGAAAAAAGATGGTATCAGGATTGGAGACAAACAACTGCCATACAATCAAAAAAAAAAAAAAAAAATTCAAAGTGTTCTAAGTACAAAAAATAAGTACCCTGGTGGATTTTTAAAGGAGAGAAAGATTCCTCTGGGGTGAGAAAATCAGAGAGGATAGGAATCTTCAAGTGAGTGATGCTAGCTTTCCATAAAAAACCAGCTTTGTTAGTTCTGCTGCATTTTTGGCTTCTGCTTCAGTTTGTGATTTACGTAGCATGTGTGCTGGCTCACTGCTCACTGGTTAGAACACAGTCCTGGGTCATAAGTTGGTTCTCATGTGTCTTCATCATGTCCCTGTAGCCTTTGACACATCATAACTATGACTGGACACGTCTTACATGGTCAACAAGCTAGAATGAGGGCAGCTGAAGAGGGGGTGGCATAGCTCTGATCCTATAACCCCTCTCTCTTGCTTATGTCTTAAAGTCCACTTTTCCATTCTCCTGGCAGCTACTTCTGTCGAGTACCCTACCCTGAAGCTGCATCAGAACCACTAGGGGTATGTTAATGTCTTGGTGCTGAATGCCTTCAGTTTAAAATCCCGTTTACCTGCTTTCCTGATGAATTTACTCTAATTCTTTGAATAACAGCTCAAATACTGTGGCTTATATGAAGAGCTATATGAAAATGTCCTGATTTGGTGCTGTAGAATCAGCACTGGACTGTGAACCACAAGGTCGGCAGTTCAAATCCATCAGTTCCTCCTCAGAAACATTGGACAGGGTTGCTATGAGTTGGCACCAACTCAATGGCACTTAATAACAACAGCAACAACATGTGAAGATCTGGTGTGGTGCTGTCGGATAAGCACTGGACTGCAAGGTCAGTTGGGACCACACATTCAGTTTGAACCGCAAAGTGGGTGGTTCAAACTCAGCAGACATTCCTCACAAACCCTGTACAGGGTCACTGTGAGTCAGAACCGACTCCATGGCTCGTAACAACAACAACATAAGGTCTGCAGAACTGAGCACTTCTACATCAAAATGTGTAGTTCATTTATTAGAATTCTCATAAGACTGTGAACATACCACATTTATAGGTTTCCCACATGTTGTTGTTGTTAAGTGTCTTTGAGTTCTAACCCATAGTAACCCTGTATAGGGTTTCCGAGGAGCAGTTAATGAGCTTGAGCCACAGATTTTGTAATTAAAACTGACTTTGCAGTCCAGCGCATTAACTCACACAGTACTTTATTAAATTGTTTGCATGATTTAATTTTCCTTAAGATGTTGAGCATCTGGAGATTAGAAAATATGTGTATTTAATTCGTTTAAATTTAGCAGATATTATTGCGTATCTGGAGTCCTGGTGTGACAATGTAGGATAAACACCGGCCTGCTAACCACAGAGTAGGTGATGCAAGCCCATCAGCCACTCCTTGGAAACCCTACACAGGGTCACGATGAGTTGGAACCGATTCTACAGCACTTAACAACAACAATTAAGTATTATGTGATAAAGAAGACATTATCCCTGCCTTAAAAATTCATAGAAGGAGGGGACTGTGAGGGTGGGGTCATTGGAAATAAACAATTCCAGCACAGTGAGGTTAAGTGTAGAGAAGTAAATATGTGTCAAGACTACGAGAATACAAAGAAGGGGATATTTATGGAATATTTTCTTCATGCCTGGGTCTGTGTTTTGCTGGAAATACATTTAGTAAGATAAGCATGCTTTTGCTCTCTTAGCACTTCCCAGGTCTGGGAAGTCAGAGCTATAGTTACCACAAAGTCAACTCTGACCCATGTTGACCTATATACAACAGAACAACAAGTGGCCAGGTCCTATTTCATCTTCGTAATTGCTGGCATGTTTCAAGGGCATCATTGTGCTAATCCATGTCTCCCAAGGGTTTCTCACACCTTCACTGGCCCTATACCAAACTTGCTGTAGAAATGGATCCCTTCTGGTTAGGTGTGCAAAACAAGTTAGTTAGACAGTGTTCTGTTTATGATTCGTAAGATGGAATGATTTTTTAAAAGTGGATTGGCAGGCCTTTCTTCCTAGTCTGTCTTAGTTTGGAAGTTCCCTATAATCCTGTCCGCTGTGGGTGACCCTTCTAGTATTTGGAATATGTGTGGCATAGCTTCCACTACCACAATCACACGCATGCCAACACAGTATGACAAACTGACAGATAGGTGGTAGGGGAGACAGGGAAGATAAAAGAGAAGCTAGATGGGTCCTTGAAGGCAGTGAGGGATATTCACGAAGAGGGAGAAGCATGAACAAAGCTGACTATGCAAAGGCTTCCAACTGTGTGGAAACTATAGACAACTTTGTGGAGAATGAGTCTTCCAGAACACTTAATTGTGCTCATGAGCAACCTGTACACAAATCAAAGGCAGTTGTTTGAACAGAACAAGGGAACACTGAATGGTTTAAAATTAGGAAAGGTGTCTGCCAGGGTTGTATTATCACACTGTACTTATTCAGTCTCTATACTGAGCAAATAATCAGTGAAGCTGGGTTATATGAAGAACGTGGCATCAGGATTGGAGGAAGACTCATAAACAACCTGTGATAAGTAGATGATACAAACTTGCTTGCTGAAAGCTAAGAGGACTGAAAATATTTACTGATGAAGATCAAAGACTTTGGTATGGGGTGCACTTCAATGTAAAGAAAACAAAAATCTTCACCATTGTACCAATAAATAGCATCGAGATAAATGGAGAAAAGATCGAAGTTGTCAAAGACTTCACTTTGTTTGGGTCAACCATAAACAGTCATGGAAGCAGCAGTCAAGAAATCAAATGGTGTATTGCATTAGGCAAATCTGCTGCACAAGACCTTTTAAAGTGTTCAAGAACAGAGATATCAGTTTGAGGACTAAGGCG